CTCCCAGCGCGTGGGCTGCCGTGAAGCCCATCAGCCGGCCTCTACCCTGCAAGGGTGGAGGAGAGGCTGCCTCCAAAGCTCTCTCCCCTCCATGACCGAGCATCACCCACCACCGCCGCTGCTGCTTCGGCTCCCTGCCGGCGCAGGCACTGCAGCACAGCACAGACACGCAGCAGATGGCATTCGGCACCCGCTCTGAGAATCGACCGTTGGATGCTTTGCTCTCCCTCCTGGGTTTTGACTGAGCCTTCCCATGGGAAAACGCCTTTGCTGGGATACTTCATGTACCCTTAAGTAACAAATTCCTTCGCTCCGGGGGTGGCACGGAGGGTGTTGGGCGAGAGCATGAGCTTTACGCTTTCTTCGTGCTTCTGGAGCTTGCAGAGAAGAAAAAAAAAGAAAATCTGCTGCTTTTTCTTTCTGTCCTTGTAATGATAACAGGAGGGATGTGGAAATCCAGCTGACGAGTTTGGGCTGAGACGGTTGGAGCCCTGGCTGTGGAGGGTGCCCGAAAGGACACCCCCAGCGCAAGGCACAGCTGGGCGCCTGTCACACGGCTTGCAGGGTGCGGGCAGCTCACCAGAAGGGTCGGCACTAATTAATAATTACGGTCCTATTTCACCACAAAACAAAACAACACCTCTCCCCAGCCTGATGAAGGAGGTTCCCCCCCCACTTCCCCAGCCCATCTGGGGGGATAAGTACCACTCAGTCTTGCCTGTAACCGGAGCTGGTGAGCCCCCGGGTCAGAGCCACAACGCGGATGCCCGGCAGCTCGCAGCCCCAAAGCCAAGAGGGGCTGTTGCTATGGGAATCGAGAGGGCACTTACAAACGGCATCTGGAGCCTGGCTGAGGCAGCTGGATTTGGAGGGAAGCAAAACTAAAAGGAGGTGGTGGAGAGAGACAGAGGCACAGCAAAATGCATGCATGTTAGAGGAGGGACCTTCCCAGAATGAGAGTACAGTGGGATACAGAAGAGCGGGGACACCAAACTGTCAGGCAGTGGTGGCTCGGCTTTGGTAGGATAAACCTTATTTTCTGCTCTGTTTCACACTGGAAAAAGGTCCGGTGAAAGCCCAACTGTAACAACATGGGATCTGCCTCCTCAACTTACCGGCCCAAGTGTATTTATTTGGATATTGATGGAAGAATTCAAAAGGTACTTTTGCTGTTTTTAACAAAGTCGTGTCTCCGGAGGCGGCAGCGGGCTGTGTTTGCTGTGCGACCTATTTCTGTAACGCGAGTTGAATGCGTGTTTGCATTCAGCGCTCTTGCGGGCTTCAAATCTCTTTTTAAGGGGAGGGGGGAGATTTTGGGTGGCTTCTGCTTTGTACACGGCTGTTTATTTATAGGAGAAGGGGAGGCTGACAGCAGGGGAGGGCCGGGTGCTGCCAGCGGGGAACTGCTGCCAGTGCGGGGACCCTCGGTTTGGCAGCTCTGTAGGCTTCCTCTCCCGGAGTAGAGTCGCGACGTGTTTACAAAGTTTTGCCTGCGGAGAGGTTTTCACCCAAGCAGTGGGAGCCGGAAAGCACGGCGTGCCGAGTTATTTGGAGATTGCCTGCTGGGGAGGGGTGGTGGTGGGAGGGGGGTTGTTTAGGGATGGGCATTTTCCTACCACCACGCTGAAGGGCAGGCAGGTGCCCGGCTCTTGGGAAAGGGGTTGTGCCGCTGCATCGCCATGGGGCAGCTGCAGGGTCCCCGCCACCTTTGCCAAGTTGTGTCGTGAACGGCGATAAACGTTAATTAAAACTTTCACTTCCATTAGCCTGCCTTGTTTGCTTAACCGCGGTTCACAGCACAGGGGAAACTGCGGGAGAAATGTGTTCTGGCTGAAAGGGAGAGCTCGCACGCTGCCGAGCTGACAGCCCACTGCTTTTAAACAGACACAGTGCCGCCGCATTTTTGTAAGTTGCCTTTTTCTTCTTTTTGTCAGCGATTCTTTGGCCACAAACCAAGTGCCTTTTTTGTAACAGAGAGCTGCTGCAAGGCTCAAGAGCAAGTAGACTCCGACTTGCAAAATTCAAATATCTCTCTCCTCTCGTCTCCTTTCTCTGAATTTTCATTTCACCCAGCCTCGCCCTTTGTTTCTCCTTTAAAAAGAAACAGCAAAGATACCCTTTCCCTTCCCTTCCCTTTGCTGTATGAGTGACCACAGAAATGAGGTAGAGGGAGAGCTGATACTTACCGTCCCGTCCCACCGCACATGCTTCCATTGCCTATGGTCCCCTCTGCCATGGCCCTGGAGACCCACCACGGCTGCCAGAGTCCTGTCCTCAGATACAAGCCCTTGGAGAATCCAAATCTGCGCCAGGTCCCCCACGGCAGGCTACTCCGCTTCATCCATTTCGGGGCTTAAATGTGACAGTGGTCCCTCTGCCACCACGAGCTCCTCCGTACCGGCAGGCAAGGAACGTGCCGGCTCTGCTGAGATGAAGTTGCTGCTTCTTTTTTGCTGGGGCTTAATGAGTTGGTCACCTGGAAGCCCCCAAAAGCAAGGCTTGTACGGAGCTCCCTGGCACCTTTCCTGTTCAGTACAAAAATGTTTTGGTATTTTGAAAGGGTGGTGAATGTTTCCATAGATGTTGGTAAAGCACATCGTCTGTCATCTGCTCTGTTTTTTAGGAAAAGTAGCGATTCGCAGAACCAGTCTCTGGAGAGTAATTTTGACACTAAAAACACAGAAGAGGAACAAACGCTTGAGCAAGAAATGCAAACTCAGACAGCGCTAAGGGTTTTTTGCTCAATAAATGTTATCTGTTTCTTTTGTCGGATATGAAATTCCATCTGTGCAATGTTTGGAAGGATTCCTGCGGTAAAAATGCCGTGTAAATGGGGTTCACCCAGGGGTAAGCAGGGCATATCTCAGATTCTCATGCCTCCACAGTAACAACATCATTAGAAAGAAAAAAGAAAAAAAAAAAAAAAAAGCAACCCTTAATCTTCCAAGGAATGCAGTATTGGAGGCTTCTAAAGGGTACTCATTAAATCAATGCTAAGCTACTCATCAACCCAGTAATGAGGTATGAGCTTCATTATAACAGCGCTTGCTGAGTTTGAAAGGGCTCAGCTCCAACTTGCAACTGGCTTGCTGGACACCGCAGACTCATGCAATAGAACTGGGCATCCCACCACAGCGCTAGCTGTGATAGCAATTATTCACAGGTCATTCTGTGTTTCCACGGCCTCCTTCTGCATTTCCACCAGCGTGGCCACCATGCGTGCTACTGACTTTGGGAGAAGTTGTTTTGCCTTGTCACTGGGGTAAACGAAGGGATGCACCAGGCTCAGGGAGCCTCACGCCACCTCCCCCAGGCACCTGCGCGTTGCAGATAAGCACTTGGAAGTGCTCTGCAACAGGAGTGTTGAATTAAACTAAGTAGGTTTGTGTGTCAACAGGTCAAGAGGGGCACAGCAGGGAGGGCTAAGGAACACGGCGACTGCTGGAGAAGAGTTTGCTGGCTTTGAAACCCTTCTCAGTAGTTGTTGAAATAAAGGAGGCACCATCAGCAGAGGGTAAAGGCAGGATGGTGCCTGAGGCCAGCACATCCCAGAGGAAGGGCTGAGGTCAACACCTGCAAAGCCAGCACCATGCACACCCAGGAGTCCAGTAGCCTCCTGTGGGAGGGTGGTGGGAGGCTGGGAGCAGAGGGGAGCCCAGCCCAGTGCTGCTGTGCGTTACTCCCACATCACACTGGGGAAGCCTAGCCCTCATCTCAACAACTTCCTCAGCTCCTGCCTTTTCCTCTTGTCCACCATCCCACCTGCACCCGCAAAGACTCCCAGCCATTTGTCACAGTTTGATAAACTGACCTTTCAGAGGCACGAACAGGCAGAAAGAGGTCTTCATCAAAGCAGACCACAGGGATGGGCTCTCCTCCAGTAGGCAGAGTTGTCTGAGCATCACCCCATGCTTGGGCAGCGAGGGCTTTGCTTTGGGAGGGACATGAGATGACCCACGCCAGCCCGCCAACTGTGGAACCCCACACAGGCACCTGTTCTTAAGATCCCCAAAAGGGTGGCTTTTGTGTCCACCAGGGGAAGACTTCGTGCTGCTGGTAGCTGTGTCCTGGCCAAGGGGCAGGAGATGGGGTTCTCCCATGGGGTGGCCACCTGCCAAGCTGGTAGAGGTAGAGCCGAACACAAGTCAGGAGGTGGAGGGGACAGCCATGCTGAGGCTGCTGGAGAGGGAAGATCAAAGGCTTTTCAGTGTTACAGCCACGCGCTGAACTGGGGCTCCGTGCAAACCGGCTTCAAAGAGGTCAATTGTTCTCAGATCTGGTTGAAAAATGAAGTCACAGCACAATGTGCTTCCTGTCTAGTGCCTACGTAAAGGAGATGCACATCTCGGGGAAACAAGCACCGCTCGCTTTATTTATTTTTTAAGGATCCTTTCACCCAGAGATACCCTGCTTGCCTGGACACGCACCTCCCTCTGCACTTCACACGCGTGCCCGGGGCTTAGCGCACCCGTGAAACACGTCTGCATCCCACCCCTGCCACAGCCTGGTCTGCTGCCAGGCAAAGGAGAAGATGACAGGACGGGGGAAGCTGTGACTGTGTTTCATATAGGATAAGGTGATCTTGCAGCATCGTGGACCAGGATTTCTCATTGTTCCTGGAGTGCCACTAGCTGGGGTCAAGCACCCAAACCCCCAACCTGCCAGTGGAGAAGTGAGGTTTGCTCTGCCAAACATAAGCAGGATTGGGAGTCTTATTTTCCTTCATAATGTTATTAACCCTTTGGCTGTGTTTTTAAAAAAAATTCCTACAGGGTCTGTTTCATGTTAAAAAAATCCACCAGCCAGAAAATGTTCCCCAGCCCATGCCCAAATTTTTTCCATGAAGAAACTACTGGCGAGCATTTTCTTTTGACCTTTGAGATTTAAATGGTAGCAGAGCCAAACCAGCCAGTGGCCATATTCCCAGATGGGTGGCTTCATGGCTCTTGTTTTCAAATGTCACAGGTGGTGGCTTTGCTCACAGAGCTGTAAGGAGTTCCTCTGAGAAAAATGCTTAATTCAAGAGGATTTCTGTTTCCAGTGCCTTAATCAGCATCACATTTGTAACAAGGATGGAAAGTCAGAGGGGTACAGAGCCTGAGCTAACTGGAAAAAAGAAAAGAACCACTGCCTTTGTCAAGGATTCAAGGAAATCACTCAGGGTGGTATTTTCTTCCTCTTCAGAAAGCCAGTAAAGAATTTTGGAGCTGGTTCACTGAGTCATTCTGGATGCCAAACAGAGAAATTACCTTTTTTTTTTCTCAAATAAATGTATTTAGTTCAACTTTCTGGGTGTCTGCTGTACTGACCTGTGGAGCAGGACACTGACCCATCCACAGCCATTGTTCCTCTTGGCCTTAGGTCCATGATGAACATAACAAAGCTCAGACTGCATTTTGGTGCTGTGGTTATTGCATTGAAATGCGAGCGCATAGAAATCGTTTCTGTCATGTGAGCTTTTTTTTTAATTAGAGCAACAGCAACTGTGGTATAAATGCAAACCCAACAGATTTTTCCAAAGCTCGCCGTGCTATTTTTAACACGCCAAACTGGATTCAGATTAAAAACAAAACACAGCAGAAAAATAACGGCATGATGATCAGTTCAAGGCGATTAAATATTTTTGCATCCCCGTGACTCTTTTGGCACAGCGGCGCAAACATGCTCTGCGGTGGCCATGGACCCATTTCCCTGTCTGTTTGGACAAGGGATTTAGGGCAATACCCTTTCAACTGCCGACCATTGGAAGGGTGCACAGAAGAGGGGTTCATGGGCAGTAGAGACATGGACGCCTCGGGGGGCTGCTGTGTCTGGCTGGCATTCGCAGGTTCCTCCCACACGTGGACAAGCCGATGCCAAAAACTTCTTTAGCATGGTGAGGCACAAGTATGTTTTTGTGGGATCAAAGCTATTTTCTTAGTGCTGGCAGATATCTGTGGGCAAGGGAAGGTGCAAGGTGGCACAGCCTGAGTCTGGCCAGTGGTCTTGGCTCACCTGGGCTCTCTGATTTTAGCTGGCCCTGGTGAATTCAAGGCGGCTGCTAGATGTTCTCATTGTGAAGCAGCAAGAAATGAACAGTGAGTTCCTAAAACTCCATCACATTACTGCACATAAACATCTTAAAGAGTAAAAATGGCTTAAACCCAGACTTTTAAAAAAG